CTGTACTTTGGGCGTTGCAAACGTTCAATTTTAATTATCATTTGTTATAGACACAATGATTTTTTTTTCTCATCTAATTTCTTTCCTGCCGCCCCCCAGTGGCACAGCGGTATGTCTGCGGACTTACAACGCTAGAATCCGGGTTTCGATACCCGTGGTGGGCAGAGCACAGATAGCCCTTGTGTAGCTTTGTGCATAATTAAAAAAAAATCTACGAAACGTTATTTCCTGCCATCTTGTCAGCTATTGATGTAGAAGCCCCCCCCCCCCCGAAGGCTGTGTAAGAACAAGACGACTTTAAAAGTGATAAAGTGAGTTGATAAATGTTTAATAAAAATGTAAAACAACAACCGATGGCAGTGTTGGCTATTTATTTAAGCATTTCTTTACGATATATCCAGTAATTGTAAACAGTGCTTCCTTTTTTCTACAATTCAGCGGCTGTACAATGCTGTGTTGGTAGTTTAAAAGTCGTAGCGTATGGAACACTTCGGCGACAACGCTCCGAACCACCCAAACACATAAATAAACGTAAGTGCTTTAATAACATTGTTTATGTAACAGTGCGATGAAAGACGTTTCACACTTATGTATCTCGTTATATAAATGTGTATTTACGATGTGGTCGTTGATTTAATGAGACTAGTTGCTGCCTCTTTAAGTCCGTCCATCCATCAGCGCCGCCATAAATAAATGTAAACAGAATATATCGAAACAAAAATTTCGTTATCTCGACGAAATTTGGCATAGCAGTTTTCATTTTAGTAATTGCGATGAATCGGCGTGGATAGCAGACACGTTTTAAACATCATACAGTGAAGGGCGTTCGATTGGACCGTACATACTTTTTTATCGTTTTTTCCTGGAAACGGAGTAATCCAGTGGATAACCGTACTGGACTGCGAATCCGAAGATTCATGGCTTGCGTCCCGTTGTCGCAAAATCGAGCTTTGAGGCCGTGGATGTGTTAAAAAGTGACAGTTAGATATGTTAGAGTAGCCTCAGAGTTGGATGCACGTGCTGCTGCCTTGACTGGCTTACCTTCCTCGAGCATACGTGCGCTCACAATGTAGGACAGCTGATAATTTCCAAATTTCCAAACTTAGGCGAACCGTTCTTCATCTAACGCATTTGTTTTCAAACTGGGGGGCGCCCCCATTGGGGGGGGGGACGCCCTTTGGCCAGGAGAAGCCAAAAATAACAATGAAACAAGCAGAAAAACGAACAAATATATTTTTAACACTTTAGATTTCTTGTTAATACTTAAGAAAGAAAACTTTAAAGAGAAGCAAAGAACTACTGTATTTGATGTTATTATCACCTGTGAAATTATTCAGTATGAAGGTAGGGGACGAGAAAAATGATGCTGAGGTGGGGGGGGG